TATAAATTTGTATTTATTTTATATATATATATATATATATATATATATATATATATATATGATGAAGGATTTGTTTATTCTAGGAATAAGTCTACTTAGAACTATTCTGTTCAATAACTTATATTTTACATCAAATTTTAATAATTTTATGTTAATTCTGTTTTATAAGAACGAAACATTAAATTATTTTAGATTAATATTAAATTTTGCATATATAATCTATAAGTAAGGAACTTTCAATCTATGGTAAGTTTTGAAAATATCATGTTTAACTAAAAGTTATTAACTAGTGTAATAGTTGATAAAGGTTACACTAATATTGTTTGAATCTTATAATTTTGTAAATTTAACCGTTGAATTATAATTTTATATCACTTTATATATTGATTTGAATTAATGAAATGTAGTATCAAATGATTTTCAAATTTTTTAAAATTTTGCAAACTTGATATATGCATTAAAAACTTTAAATTCAACGATTAGATCATTGAAATTTTATGTAACATGAATTATTCAATGGAATAAGTTTAGATAAACCTGCTCCTAGAGTAAACGGATTTCTCTCTTTTATATATATATATATGAGAAGGGTCTATAAGTATTTGATTTTAATTATTCCAAGAATAAAACTTAATTTTATCTTAATTTTAAATATTGTACTCTTGGGATTTGGGTCTGAAATTTTTATATATATATATTTCTTGTTATCTCAGTGACATGTTAGTATGTTGTACTCTCCCTGGTAGCATATATATATATACATACATACACACACTAATTCATGTTTTACATAAAATTTTAGTGATCAAACTGTTAAATTAAAAAAATTTAATATATACATGAAGTTTACAAATTTTTAAAAAATTTAAATCAATATATAAAATACTTTTTTATAATTATCCGTTAATTTGTTCGATCAATTATTGTTTCACACTCAACCCACTTAATATTAAAATGTATAAAATTTCTTAATATTAAAATTATAAAATTTCAAAAATTAAGTAACAAAATACACATATAAGTGACAAAATCCACAAAATTGTAAAATGAAAAATAAAATATGCCATTAAACCCACATTATTCTTTCGGCATATCCTAAAATGTATTTCACCTGCAACTAGGTAGATTATCTCTCAATTGTCTCGAATTACCTTTTTTTTTGTTTTTTTACCTAATCTTAATTATTTCTTTTAATTTACCATTTATACTTCAGTATTATTTTTAAAAACTAGTTATCAATGATTAAAAAAAATTATATCATAATTTAAAGTATAATTTATATACTTATTAAAATATTTATTAATTATAAAATTTAAAATTAAATGTTTTTAAGAATTTAAAATTTGATATAAATTTATTTTTGACACCCTCCAAACCACTTGTAGTATCACCCATAATGATAAATTAAGTTTTGTAGCATTAGCTATAATGACACTAATAATTGTATTTTATGTATCATGTTCAAAAATAAGAGTATTTTTTTTCTTCACAATTCCATAACAATATTTGAATAGATTATCAATACTTATAATGATACAAGCCACGCAACATTACCTAGTTTTACCACTAATAATAATACTAGTAGATATATTTTGTTTTCCAAATTCTTTAATAATCTAGGTTTTTTTTAAAAAAAATTCACTAACGATATTTTACAGACTGAAATACACTTTTTTAAAACTATAGAAATTTTAAAAAAAATCATTTTAAATTTGAAAAACAAAAAATAACTTACCTTATATTTAAGGAACTACAAACATTTTAACTTACTTTTATTTACATAAAAATAAACACCTTCATGAAATGCATACACTAAAATACTAATTGAATATGTTTTCATGATAAGCAAAATTTTAGAGCTTGTATTAAAAAATTTTGTTTTCTAATTAACTTTTAATTTTCTTTTTTACCTAACAATACATTATTAAATTTAAAACCAACTACAAACAACTTCACATAGTAGTTTTACAATAAATCATTTTTAAACAATTCAAACAAAAATTATTTTAGAATCAATTGCCCTAACATATTCAGACATATCTTATATCTTATTTTATATAATCAATAATATTATAATTAATAATTTAAATTACCTTTTCACAATTAAACCCCACTTAAAAAATATATTTATTTCAAGTTTTTCTCAGTTCTATCTATCTATTTATTTAGTATGTACCAAGGGAGAAGTAATAAAATGTTGAGACAATTTTCTTTTTTTTAAAATTGACAACTGAATAATCATTACTTCGAATTTTTAAAACCAATTTTTAGGAGTGCACAGTGATGTCAACAAATTCACATGACAAGCACTTCCCATTTAACAAGCAAAGCAAAATGACCAATTTGTTTCACGAAATAACTACAAATTGACTCAAAATGCTACGACTAATTATTCCACCATACGTTCCAGTTGAGCGAGTAAAAGTACTGATCCTCCAAGACACGCAAAAGAACTTGGACACAGCACGAAAATGAAGGATGGTGACTCAACAAAGAATCACAATGAAAATTCACATCATGTCCTTGAACTCTTTTGTCCCCTCTACATCGCAAACTTTTTTATAACAATGCAAAAACAAATACCTTTTCGTTGGGAGGGGACAAGTCTCAGACGGTGACTTTCCATTTTTTTTCCTCTCCCTATTCTCTTCAAATTAAAGCAAATACTAAGCTTCAATAACCTGTGCCTAAACAGCAAAAAGAGGGAAGAAAACATATCCTATGCCTACAAAGTTGGATAAGTGCTTTGAGGATTTCCAGCAGAAATGAACAACCAAGCAGCTTTCACATAAAAGCCGTTCGTCCACCCCTTCTGCTATGCCTATCATACGCAGTATTAAATTTGTCCACCAGCTCGTTCATTGCACTACACCAAGACAAAAGATAAAAAAAAATAACATTAATACTAGAATTCAAGGTTACACTTCTGAACTTAAATAGTGTTCACGTATCCTTTCTTGAAAAATATATTTAATCATATGAAGGTCAGTTCCAATTCCCAACCCACCAGTAAACCCTTTCTATACAGGAAAAAGTGAATAACGTATTTAAGATCGTTAGACAACTAAAAAGGAAGAATTACAGAAGATTGAGCTTCATAATTCTACAGTACAAGATCGAGCATAAGAACATACTAGAGTTCATTTATAAATCGGAATCGAGTACCCTACTCAAATGACTCGGACTTCCTCCCCTAGCAAGCACCTCTAACAAAAGAAGCTTCTGATTGTGCAGATAGGGAATGGCAAGCGGAGTAAAATAGAAGAAAAACTTGCTGCAATCTTGTAATGTTATTTCTAACTAATTTTTGCTTCATCACAATAAAAAATGGTCCCACCACACTGATTTTGAGGTAGTTTGGAAAGAACACTTGGAGCTTATGTTTTAAAAGAGGGGGGGAGGGGTAACAAAAATTACAAAACCTAAAAAAACGAACCAAGACAAAAAATACAAGTATGTCATACCTTGAGCAGTTGGTCAGCATGGCCAGGTAACTAATCAATAAGGTGTCATTGTACTCCTACAAGGGAGAAAAGTTATTGTAAACTAAAGAAAAGTTTACATAAGCATTTATACTTAATTGCAAATATTAAGCTCACAGCACAGCTCAGATATTAAATTGCAGCAATATGAACCCTTCAACACAAATAGCAATACTATAAAATTGCCATGTGCAAGTGTCCTTATATAAATTGTACCACTGTCTAATTCCTTTCAACAAATAGGCTAGCAAAAATACCGTGAATAATTTGACAGCAATGATTAATGAACAACTTCCTAAATCAATTTATTTTTATGGCAGACCAATGTGTTTATTTTCTAGCAACCCATTACATATTTAGCTAATAAAAACATGTGGATACACAGTTGTATAAACCAATTGCATCGATAACATTATGTTAGAATGGGCTCTGTTAGCTAGGCCTTGTCAGATTAGAGTAGGTTTTATAATCTGTTAGAATAAGTAAAGGCAGAAGTTGATAGGGGAAAGTAGTTGGTGAGAATAACTTTTGGATGGGAGAGAGCAGGTTCTCATTCCTGGGAGTTATTTTATCATTCTTGTTGATTTTGCCCTTGCCAATTCTGATTTCTCACTGGAACCGATTAGCAATTAGGGATTTGATCAATAAATTCTCATTTCACTCAGGTTTTTATCAACTGTTATCAGAACTCCATTTGACGTTGACAGATTCGGGAGTTAAGGGTCCAGCAAGAATGAAGAACATTCTTGACATCATTGAAGAAATGAGGAAAGAGATTGTGAATTTCACAAAAGAACTCAAGAAGGAACGTCTAGGAATCCCTGTTTTTGAAGGAGATTATGCATATGGCTGGCTGATTCACTTAGAATCTGTGAGCATAGAAGGGAGAAGAAAAATTGGACACAATGGGAATTTGCACCAATTGGTTAAAAGAGAAAAACTGGAATTCTGAAGGAGTTAGCTATGATCATCTGCCTTTTATTGGCAGTGAGGGAGATTGTTCCCATGTGGTTTATGTTGACTACATATTAATAATTGAGAACATAAATGTATTGCAAAATCGAGAGCTTCTTCCAAACCAAATTCAAATAAAGAACATAAATTTGAAGTATATCCTCAGTATCGATGTAAAATAAGGGGATGTATCTCTCTCAATGTAAATATATTTTTCGTCTCCCCTCTAAGGTTGGCATGTTAGGAACTAGACTTTGTGATTCTCCAATGTTCCAAATGAGAAACTTACTATAGATGATATAGTGAGTTGCTAATTGATCCAGAAAGGCAGAAGTTGGTAGGTAAACTTAACTATCTTACTTTGACGCTCTCAAATGTAGTAAATCATTTCATGTCATCTCATGATTTCAAAATTTTCATTGGATGCTATGTTGAACATCTTAACTCTTAAAAGGCATGAGAAAGGAGAGCTCCAGTTCATAGGATTCTTTACAAAGACAATTGAGACAACAAAGTAGGTTTTTCTCATGCAGATAAGCTTGGCTCTTATTAAAAACCAACCTCCATCTATAGTGTGTTGGGGGAAATTTGATTTCTTGGTGAGAAATGATTCAAGGGCTCTAGACCTACGAAAATTTTTGGTGTAACAAACAAGTTGCTATTCACAGCCAGTGATCCATGAAAAATAAAACAGACAGAAGCCAATTTCCACATAATTTTGAAAAAATTTCAGCAGGGACTCCACCCAACACGTTAGAACTGGAGAGTAAATAGCTAACTAACATCTTCACCACCCAACATGGTTAATTACAGTTATTGCAATTAGGGTATGATTAACATCTATTATTCAACTTGTAGGAGAGAGAGTATTAAGTGTAATATGCATGTGATTAATGTGCAAAGGAAGTTTATATCCTCTATACACTACATTGTACTGCTAGCCTAGTGTACTTGATACAAAGACCTACACCCACATAGCATTCAGTTGTTCCAAATATATATCTATTTTATAATTAGGATTTAGAAACCCATAAGCCCACTCTCTAGCTTCAAGAAGGGTGACCCGTCAAAGCTCATAATGGTTGCACAAATAATTCCAAATAAGAAAGTACAGAAACCAAATACAAGAGGAACCCAGTTTATTGACCCTCCTTCCCCATTACATGCAAAGACTAACTTAAATACACCAACAGGCATGCAAAATTTAGAATGGAACATACTCACCATTAAGAAATCGTCTTGAAATTTCCCAGATTCAATAGCAGGCAATCTTCTCAAGAGACTTGACACTTGTCTTAATAGTGAATTCTCACAAGGAACATCACCTGCTTTAAAACAGTGAGGACAGTGATACTATTTGTTGGAGTTTCAATATATGAACAACTTGTGGTTGAAGCATGAAATGGAAATATTGCTCACAGAATCACTTAGCACCTATTATACTGTTTTAAAACTGTAATTTGTGAAATATAAATATAAATTCTTGAAACCATGCCATGCTGCTGAAACTGGATTTCTAACGTTAAAATCCATGTCTAAAAAATATTAAGAAAATTGGTTAAGGTTTTCATTAGAAAAATAAAAATTGGTGCACTTCTCATAAATTAAAAAGAGTAGCTTTTAAGAAACAAACTTCACAAAAGGCTACCTCTTAAAAGAGCTTTGTTCAAAACTTAGAAAATTTATGGAGTGCTCATTATTTCATTAATCTGTCATAACTGAGGATCTACTTCGCTAAAACTGGAAGACATGTACATGGCAGTTATAACTATAGAAAATTCTTCTACTATTGTGTTTCCTTTAATCAATTACAATTTCTATCAGAATCTGGTCTCGGATTTATTGAGACAATGTAGCTAATAATTATACATTGAACATTTTATTTGCAAGTCCCCTCTTTGAAATAATAGATAAGTATAAAATTTGAAACAAATCATAGTCAGACACTTTAAGTATTATCATATATATAATTGGGTTTAATGGTGATACACTGCTGGTGTAATTTTTTTTTACATAGTCAGCAAATTAGAAATCACAATTTATATGACTTTTAAGATAGTTATTGATTTGTTCTCGCTTTTTATTTATTTATATCTTTAAACACTATTGGTAAAGGATTAGCAACATGAAAGGCTTAAGGAATTGATAGATCAAAAGAATAATATTTTTTTACAAGACTTGAAAACTTTCTAAAATAAATAATGGGCCTGTTTGTTTAAACTAAAAAAAACACATTATAATAAAATAAGTAGTTTTATACTTTTTTGATGTATAAAAAACAGTTTTCTGCATTTTTTTGTGCTTTTTAAGAAGCAACTCTTATCTAGTTAAAAAAATTACTTTTTTAAAATCCTGTTAATTTTAAACAAACTGACCCAATATCATATTGTTAAAAGCTATTCTGGAAGAAATGATAGCCACATACCTTTTTGCATTGCAAGAAGATAGTGATGTAGCACCTTTATTCTGCTATGAAGCATTTTGATGGCACTGTGAATACCAGTAAGGTGAGCAGCCACTGCAAAAAGAAAACATGTTAGATACAACTAAAAAAACCAAACCTTATCACCAGGTAGAGTCAGTTGCATGCATCAATCAACAACATTGGACTCTAATAAGCCAAAATTCAGTGAACTTAGATCTCCCTCTACTCCTTTTAATCTGAATATCTTTCTATTTAAGCCATTTTTCTCACTAAAACATTCACTGGTCTTAGTTGAACAATGTCATATCAAATTCAACAAAATTTCACATTGGATATTAACTGCCTAGGAAAACTCTCCTTGATTATCCAGACTCATGACAAGCTATGTAAAATTCAATAGAAAAATACGATATTGGCATATTACCTAGCAATAAGAACAGAAACCAAAACTCTTT